TACTATTGTCTTTTCACAGCAAACTAATTTGAATAAAGTTACAATTGCTGTCCGAGCAGTGTCCCCTACAGCTGAAATAGCAACTCAGTTGATTGCTCTTTTAGACTTTTTGATACAAGACTGCTGGTAAGTATAGTTGTCTAATTTAAAACTGCTAAAATATTCACCAGAATTTGACATTTCTTGTCAGAAAATATAAATTAGAATCAAAACAAACTTTACACTCCTCTCACTTCACAGTACACAGTTACCACAGATTGATCCTACTAAACACAGAGCAAATGAACTTGACATGAGACGACAAGAAATGAGAAATATGGAGTTGGCCAGAATTAAAGCCGAGGCAACCAAATTGAGAGAGAATGCTACTGATGTGAATGAAGTGGTGAATGAAATTGAGGGATATATCCAAGCACTGAGACAGCTTGCTGTAGAGGTATGAAAGTCAATTCATTATCAATTAGCCCATGGAGCGCTATGACAGTCTTCATTAATTTGGAGTTGTATGTTAAACTTATATTTTTTATTTTTCAGCCACAAAACAGTATTCCAGACATTGTAATTTGGATGTTGAGTGCCAGGAAGCGCATTGCGTATTTTCGAATACCAGCGTATGATGTCCTCTATTCACCATATAAAGATGCCAGTGGGAAATTTTGTAACAAATTAAGAACAATATTCTTAAAGGTAAACAATTTTTTATTTATTTATTTATATTATGATTGTTAAGTTGAAAGCCCTTGATTATTGACAACTATTGGCAACGCATAACTTTATTGACCACAACCTTCCATTTTTGGAGGTCTGCTATATATATCAAACTCTCAAACTCAGCTGTCTGCTATCTTTTCTCTCTAGTATCCAGGAACTAAATCTGAGAATGCCATTGGTGCAGAAAGCATTCCATGCATGTTACGTCTAAAGGTGTGGCTTGGTTTACAGGAGCATGAGCAGTCGTACGGTCACGACCATGGCGGTGGCTTGATGGCTGTCTTTGCAGAAACTGTAAGTAAAAACCATGCTAATTTATTGTAAGAGAATATATTTATTATTGAATTTATTCACATCAAGATGAATATAAATGTTATTGTTATTTAATTACATATTATACGCATAACATGTACGTGGCTGTTGACAACCTTATATGAATCTACAACATTGAAAATAATCTATGCATGTGACCTTAAGCTGGATATCATAATTGTCATCATTAACATTCTAATGATTGTACTAATGTCTTACCTTGGCTGACCATTTTCTCATCTGGATTACAATTGCTCCGATCTCGGCAAGATCTATGTGTTAAATGGCCTGCCCAGATTAACTATGGCATGCCAAAGTCTGCAGGTTAGCTGCAGTCACCCCAGACTCACTATGGCATGCCAAGGTCTGCAGGTTAGCTGCAGTCACCCTAGACTCACTATGGCATGCCAAGGTCTGCAGGTCAGCTGCAGTCACCCCAGACTCACTATGGCATGCCAAGGTCTGCAGGTTAGCTGCAGCCACCCAAGACTCACTATGGCATGCCAAGGTCTGCAGGTTAGCTGCAGTCACCCTAGACTCACTATGGCATGCCAAGGTCTGCAGGTCAGCTGCAGTCACCCCAGACTCACTATGGCATGCCAAGGTCTGCAGGTTAGCTGCAGTCACCCTAGACTCACTATGGCATGCCAAGGTCTGCAGGTCAGCTGCAGTCACCCCAGACTCACTATGGCATGCCAAGGTCTGCAGGTTAGCTGCAGCCACCCCAGACCCACTATGGCATGCTAATATGTGCTGGTTAGCTACAGTCACCCCAGACTTATTATGGCATGCCAAGGTCTGCAGGTTAGCTGCAGTCACCCTAGACTCACTATGACATGCCAATGTCTGCTGGTTAGCTACAGTCACACCAGACCCACTATGGCATGCCAAGGTCTGCAGGTTAGCTGCAGTCACCCTAGACTCACTATGACATGCC